CATATATCCTGAGTGACCCATAAACTGGCCAGGTTTCTAGGGTTGCTCTTGAGCACATTTGCCCTGGTCGTAAGGATATAGGGTTAATATTAATCACGTATTGTTTTTTGCCAATTAATCGCCTATCTATCAGAGCACCCGCCAACCACCCACTGTTCCACACCCTGACTTGTTAGACAGGAGAAATAAAAACCCTTCGTTTCTTGCAAAGATCATAACAAAAAAATTGCCTGACATCTGCGATACGGCTTCTGTCCAAATAAACTTTGATGCACACTGCAATTTATTTATTTATTTATTTTTCAATATCTGCACATAATATGTACAAATATATCTGCATGACTTTCCAAGTCTGCGATAGATTCCTGCGTGTTGTTTGAGGAATTATGCCTGTGATATGACATGTTGTATTATTGGTAATATTTTTTTCTCTTTATTGAAAATAATATTATGGAAGTAGCGTAAAATCTATTTAAATTCTCTCTCTCTCTCTCTCTCTCTCCTTCTCTCTCTCTCTCTCTCTCTCTCTCTCTCTCTCTCTCTCTCTCTCTCTCTCTCTCTCTCTCTCTCCCATCTTCATCTATCAATATGTCTGTCTGTTTGTCTAACTGTCTGGAGACTTCGTCATAATGTTCAGATGTCCTACCATTGTTAGAGAGTTGACAAAAAATCATAAATATGACATGTTTGTTAATTCAGGAATGAACAATAAATGATCTATGTGCAGAAACAGGTGTCAAATCAAAGAATGCACACTTTACAAAAAAAGTGACTTTGTCCCTCTGAATTCAGAGATCTTGCCTCTTAAACAACCTTAAGGTTAAACCTATACAATAATACAATGAACAATCACCAATCACAAGACAGAAGGCATGCGATGACTAATGAAGGATAGTTCAATAAGCTGGAGATGAAATCTTAATGCACTTTAAACTCACCTCGCCGATTTTCTTGTCTTGTAAACTTCGCAGTCTGAGAATTTTTCTGTACAGAAGACTGACTGCAGCAGCTCTGCCGCGGGTACCTGAGGGGAAGATGGCATTGTATGTGTCATCAAACTCATCATCATCATCATCATCATCATCATCATCATCATCATCATCATCATCATCACCATTGTTTTACAGCAGAGCAAAATGCTAAAGACTTGAATGTAGCTGTGTATATTGACAAGAGGTTGATCATCATCATCATCATCATCATCATCATCATCAACATCATCTTTCTGGTTACACACTGACATCTTTCTTTCGGAGAAGCATCCACACAACTGCATTAACGGCAACTTCCAAGTGGTTTTCTGTCATAACAATGTCTAACAACCTTATCCGACACTGAGGTTATACCGTATACTTAACCAACATCTGGAACCCATAAGAGCAAGACAGGAGACAGAAATTTCAGAAATCAAGGAATGTGTTTTACGCCCCGTTACAAACCAGGAAGTCCTCTCAAGAACGAGGGAAATCTAATCTGACCACATTGTACTATAGACTATCTGACCTCATCTACCCCCCTCATGTTATAGATCTATAATCATATCTGATCTATTAAGACTTGTTTCATATTACCTAGTCTTATCTTTTCTCTCCTGTTTCATTTATCATATATTTCAGAACATTATCTTATTGTACCTAATACGACATTATTTTATCTTATCTCATCTTATCTCAGACTGCATCTATCATTGAGATAGTTGAGGCTCATCTCACCCCACTTTCTCCCACTTCTTCTCACGGTACCTGACCTTACCTCATCTTATCTGATCTTATCTTATCTTATCTCATCCCATCTCATCTTATCTTATTTTATCTTATCATATCGTATCTTCAGACTGCACCCACCATTGAGATAGTTGAAGCTCCATGTGAGCGAGAAGGTGAAGGAGCGGCACAGCTCACACACAATAAGGCCTAGCACGATAGCCACACCGCGCCAGATGTTGTCGTTGTCGTTGGTGGTGTTGTCGTTGTTGTCGGGGTTGGCAGAGGAGATGTGGTCTAACAGCAGCCGCATCACGCAGGCCTGGGACACAGCAACAGCAACAGTATATTATTCAGGGTGGGAGGGGGGTGGTTGTAAAAGTAGGTATACAGTAATATCACGTCACTGTTAAAATACTTTATTCATTAAAGGTAAAAGCACACTGAATAAGTTACGATAAAATATATATGAGAGGCATAGTGATGGAATCAGGTGCTCGTCAAATAATGAAACCAAAGACCTCAACATTTTCCCTCCCATTAGACCACTTTCATCGATTTTTTTTGTGTATGTGTTTGGTGGGTTTGGGTTTTCTTTTCTTTTTTGTTCTTGTTTTGTTTTTGGGCTCACCCCCTTTATGTATATATAATAAAATACATAGGTGTGAGTTTTACTGACAAAAGCCGATCAAAGGTACAAAAATGTAAATTTACTCTTTTCAAGGACACTTCAGTTTTGGAAGTTACCAAAATTTGACGACAATATCAGCAACAGCGACGATTTTCACTTACCGAGCCAATAAAAGAGAAAGACAGGGTGATCAGAATGATGACGACAGCTCGCAGAAGCTGCGGTTTGTAGGCCGAGCGGAGGGCGCGGCCTAGCGATGATTGACATGGACCCTTGGCCTGAAGCTCTGCCTGCCAGCTCTTCTCCAGACTGTCCACAAGGAGGAAAATCATGAAAGGGGCGTGGTTAAGTCATTGAATATACGCACATCCAGGGCATTCGGCATCGTTTCAAGATGTCATGTGTAGGGCTTAACTCCATTATTCGAACTGATATTTCGATGTTTGTTTTATTAATCTGAAACGTTGGAAGGCATGCAAAAACTTAAGCAACACTCATATTTCTGTGTGCGACTGTTAGAAATGTGCTGTAGTATCGCTTTTGCTCTGTTGCTGATTGGATGTACTACTATGGGTTCACTTCGATGTTGAAGAGTTACACAGTGCCTTTATAGGACGTACTACTATGGGTCAGCTTCGATGTTGAAGAGTTACACAGTGCCTTTATCGAGAGAAACAACAGAGTCAGCAATACCACCATGAAGAAGAATCATCATTGTCGTAGCAACGGCAAGAGTTAAAACAACAACAGCAACAGAAGTGACGTAACCATGTGCACTGACGGCAAGAAAAGCATCAGCTATGGAAACAGAGGCTACAACTACAGAAACGATGACCTTTTGCATCTTGACAGCCGGTCTTTAAGTACGTATGTTACAGCTTTGTCTGGGCAATTGAAAACAAAATAACAACAAAAACGCCTCCCAAAACAGAGTCTTAAGCTGGTTTACCAAAGAGGCTTTCTTGCCTGTCCTCAGCATTATAATTATTCAAAAACAAGCAAAACAAAAATAACAACAACAACAACAACACCAACAACAACACCAACAACACCAACAACAAAAACGCAAACTTGTACTCACAGCTCTGCGTTGTGCTCGGCGGAGTCCTCTTCCCACCATGTCAAGTTGAAGAGGCACTTGAAGCCGTGCCGGTACAAGCCAATCATAATGCGCCACATCCACCAGAAGGAGGCACGAGACAGAAGCCCCGCCCTACTGACAGGAACTTTGGACACGCCCAGACAAAAAGCGTGGTCATCGGGGCTGTAAATATGTCACATTCATGAACGCATTAATGGTAATCAACACATTCACCAACATAAAATGACATTATTATCATAATTCATGTTCTTGAAAAACTACAAAAAACTAAACAAACAAAGGTACAATGATACATTAAAAAATTGGCAAACATTGTCACGTATTTCAACGTATGTGGTGCAGCGGCTACGCACTTCGCTGCCTCACGCAGAAGACCTGAGTTCCATTCTAATATAGGGCTATCTTTATCGAGCATCTCAGTCTTTCAGCTAGAACGTTGCGTGTTTCTAGTCCCAAGTTGGCCCCTACAGGCAGGGTCGAATCTGTCTTGTAAACGACAAAGGTTGTATAGATGGGGGCCTAAAGCACCAACATTTAAAAGCAAAAGCAAAAACGAAACAAATAATCAATGTGGTGCCAGCTCAGTTCGTGCCATGTTAAACTGTGAAACACAAATCAAATTGAAACCTGCGCGTGTTTTAAGTGGGCTTGTCGGAAGAGTCATAAGGCTCTTCACGAACTTTGTTTGGTCCTATTGGAGGTGTCAAGTAAGGAGGTCTCGCTCGATGACCATGGCATGGTGTTGAACTGCCAAAAAACACAATTCACACCTCTGGTAGGCAGCTCTTGTTGTTTTGAATAATACGCGCGGTACAATTAATTCGTGACAGTACCTTTCGGTTGGTGAACATTTATACGTGAGTCAAGGTGGTAAAATCAGGTGCTCATCAGAAAAGTGAAATAGAAGAAAAAAAAGCATGTTTCAGTCCGACCTTTTGTTCGGGTGTGTGTGTGAGTGAGTGTGTGTGTGTTTGTGTGTGTTTGTGTGTGTTTGTGTGTGTGTGTGTGTGTGTGTGTGCGTGTGTGTGTATGTGTGTGTAGGGAGTAGGTATGTATTGTATATACGTATATATATATATATATATATAATGGTCGCTTTTAAAAACAAGGGTCTATCCCGAAAAATGCTGTTTTGAGAATATCGAAGGTAAAGTTTTGGACCCTTGTTCAGTTTCTTTAAAAGACAAGGAGCCTTTTCCTTATAACCATTTACCTACCAATGAAACCAAACTTCTCCTGTGGGTAGGGCAATGCCCACTTTTGGTGTAGGTCATGATTTCGGGAACCCCCCGAAATCTGGGTTTGCCCGCTTGTCCTTAAAAGCGACTATATAATGTCTGTGTGAGCATGTGTGTGTGTGTGTGTGTGTGTGTGTGTGTGTGTGTGTGTGTGTGTGTGTGTGTGTGTGTGTGTGTGTGTGTGTGTGTGTGTATGCATGTGTAAGTGTGTGTTCAGAGTACTCACTCATCTCCATCCAGGGCCTGGCTGATAGAGCGGACCAGGCCGTTCTTGACCTTCCCGCCACTCCCGTTAGCTTTCGTCTTCTTCCCCATCTTTGCTCGGTCCGCCTACGTGTTCTCCTGATCACAGACACAGATTACCGACATATATATATTATAAGTTAATCCAATGAACAGTCGATACTGCCTAAGACTGCCACGTATTGTTGTGGAAAACCGGACCGTCTTAGACCTGAGACATGACGGAAAGATATCAGTAGAGTCCACACTTTCTACTTGAGACATGACGGAAAGATATCAGTAGAGTCCATACTTTCTAAGATGGCCACCCATTGTCGAGGAAAAAACAGCCGTCTCAGACAGGTGGATGACTAACACAGAGGAATGGTAATGTAAAAAAAACACACACAAAAACAAAAAAACAACAACAACAAATGTAAATACACACAGGTAAGTTGCCGTTTGTACAGGTGATTGTCTTATAAAGGTAGTCGTTTGCTCAGGTGATTGTCAGATAAAGGTGGCCGTTTGCTCAGGGGGTTGTCTTATATAAAGGTGGCCGTTTGCACTGGTGATTGTCTTATAAAGGTGGCTGTTTGCATCGGTGATTGTCTGATAAAGATGGCCGTTTGTACAGGTGATTGTCTTATAAAGATGGCCGTTTGTACAGGTGATTGTCTGAAAAAGGTGACCGTTTGCACAGGTGATTGTCTTTTAAAGGTGGCCGTTAGACTAGGTTGTAGTGTACAAGTATTTCTTCGGTTTGTTTATCTGTGGATTTGGTTGTTTGTGAGCGCTTTTAATTATAATGTTTAAAAAGCAACAAATAACAAAGGCAAGATGACAAGTCAAGAACAGCCTAAGTACTGACAAGGTTGTGTGCTTTGGCAGATGGAAGATCGACAAAAACGTTCATCACGCTGCTATGACGTCAATGACGTTCCAGTCAAGGGACGTCTTGTGATTTTTAAAAAACCCTAGCACATTAAAAAACAAGCAAAATAAATAAATAAAATAAAATAAAATAAAACGAAACGGAAATAAAACAACACCCACCAAGAAAACGACAAAAAATAATAAATGAAAGCACTAGATCTAAAAAGCAACCAACCCCCCCCCCCCCCCCCCCTAAAAACAAGAACAAATAACAGCATGAAAAGCTAAACATAAAAACAAACGAAAAATTGTTTAAAAAAAACACTTGAGTTCTTCCTATTTACAATTGGTTGCTTAAACTGTACTGCATTAATTAATGAATCATTACAATTTCATTTCATTATCTACATTTTGGAAATTCATTTCGCAAAGAAAGGTGAGGCGTGGTGTAATGTCAAAGCGCTTACGATGTCCACGTATAATCGGATCTACCTAAGAACTTATGTAGAGGTACAGACGGGGTATATGAATAATAGATGTAGTGCGTAAAGTGCTACAACTCTGTACATCCAGGGGAAAGGGGACAAGGGTTTTGAGACGAGACAGCGGGGGACTGACCTTCTAGTAACATAGACACGTGCCAAAACAAAAAGTGAAAACAATCGTCGCGAGCTGTCAACGTAGGCTCAGAAGTTGTTTTTGTTTTTTCTTACTTTGTCTTTTTTTTTATTTTCTAAAACAAAATTAATATATCTATAATGATATTTATAAAGAGCAAACAGCATGATAGGGAGCATGGATATGCGCTGTACCAGTGTCAGAATTAATGTTATCGTGGGCGTATGTTAACATTATTACCATTCTTCTTCTTCTTCTTCTTTTTCTTCTTCTTCTTCTTCTTCTTCTTCTTCTTCTTCTTCTTCTTCTTCTTCTTTTTCTTCTTCTTCTTCTTCTTCTTCCTCTTCTTCTTCTTCTTCTTTTTCTTTTCCCTCTGCTGCTGTTGCTGCTGCTGTTTTACATTATCATCATTCGAATCATTATTATGATATCAAATTGTTCTTTATTATGCAAATGCTTAGCTGTTACTCCTCATCCCGTCAGAAGTTGTACTCTCAATAACGTTTTATTTTTCTATTATAAACAAAATGAATCAACAAACCACGAAAAACAAACAGAATAAACACCACCGGTTATTAGAGAAGACAACCTGCACGTGTGTTCTGTAACACATCGTCAACTTAGTCAAGTGGAACAATCGACAAGGCATTTGGACATACACGCTTTTTGTTGTTGTTGTTGTTGTTGTTTTTGCTTGTTAATTTGTTTGTTGGGGTTTTTTAAGCTGTGTTTTTTGTTGTTGTTGTTGTTTGTTTGTTTGTTGTTGTTTTTTTTTGTGTTTTTTTTTTTTTGGGGGGGGGGGGGGTTGTTTTCTGTGCACGACGACAAGCAGCCCTTCATATCCACCCCTCCCCCTGATTTCCATGTTTGTCATATTTCGTTTGACTGCCGGGAGAGGAGATCGCATTGGAGTGTGTGTGTGTGTGTGTGTGTGTGTGTGTGTGTGTGCGCGTGTGTGTGAATGTATGTGTGTGTGCATTTGTGTGTATGTCTGTGTATGTGTGTATGCGTACGTGTGCTTGTGTATGTGTGCTTGAGTGTGTGAGTGTGTGTGTGTGTGTGTGTGTGTGTGTGTGTGTGTGTGTGTGTGTGTGTGTGTGTGTGTGTGTGTGTGTGTGTGTGTGTGTGTGAACCAGTCTGTCATTGTATCTCTGTGAGCGCGTGAGCGTGAGTATGTGCGTTTAATTGCATGTATGCTATGTATGTGCGTGTTTGTCGTTTGTTCGCAAAAGAGATGAAAGGTTGAGATGCGTCACTAAAAAGCAACAACAATAAAAACAATAATAAAAACCAACAACAAAAAACCCCCCAGCTCTATACAACTGTTTTCCGTTTTTAACTGATGGTAGAATAGTTCAGAGATAATTATTTGTGCGTCATAAAGATTAGACGTATTCAGATATTTTGTACAAAACGTACAACTCTTCAACCACATGGCCAGACTAAAACATGTATACCCACGTACTACCTTGTACAATGACTGACGCATCTATGTAAGCTCTTATACACTGTTTGCCCCAACCATAGACTTTTCAATTTAAAATATTATGCTAGATCGTGCACTGTCATGGCGCCGCTCTTTGCTCTCAATAATAATTTTTTTTAATTCGCTGCGAAGTGGGTGCATCATTGGTGCCGAAATGACGGGCAAATCGCCAGTTTCACTATAACTGTCGAGTGCATGGAGCACCTTTCCCATACTGCCCTTCAACTGACTCCAAATGGCGTCAAGTTGAGAGCTCCATATTACGTTAAATTGCACGATCTAGAATAATATATAATACAAGTCTATGGCCCCGACATGCAGGTGTGCACTCGTTCACAGTTATATAATAATATATGTACGTAATACGGCCCTGTACAGGACATGCAAGGACATTTCATAAATACATGTTGACGTAGACACAAACATCATAAACGCAAAAACTCTATCCAAGTTCTATGCACACTCTGCCATACGGCACACACCCTCAAACGCACAATAATTTCATACAAAAGAAAAGACACGCTCGGAAACACGTCAAACATGGAGATATTATGTACATGCGCTGGCATGAAATTATTTTCTAGACACGCTGAAAGAATTTTGCACGTTCACACACACTGCCTATCTCACAAACACGTTGTCGAAAAAAGATCTGCACAAATACATACACACAAGCACAAGCACACGCACAAGCAAACATATACAGATAAACACACATATGAACACAATAGGACAAACAGAGAGATAAACAGACACACAGACGCACAGAGACATGCATTAAGAGACATTGAGTGTTTGTGTGTGTGTGTGTGTGTGTGTGTGTGTGTGTGTGTGTGTGTGTGTGTGTGTGTGTGCGTGTGTGTGTGTAAGTGCGTGTGTGAGAGAAAGAGAGGGGGTGAGAGATATAGAGAGACATGATATAGTGAGACAGAGAGACGTAAGTAGAGAGGGGGGGAGAGTATGCGTGTGTGTGTGTGTGTGTGTGTGTGTGTGTGTGTGAGAGAGAGAGAGAGAGAGGGGGAGAGAGACAGAGACAGAGACAGAGAGAGAGATAGAGAGAGAGAGACAGAGAGAGAGAGAGAGAGAGAGAGAGAGAGAGAGAGAGAGAGACAGAGAGAGAGACAGAGACAGAGACAGACAGACAGACAGAGAAAGAGAGAGGGAGGTGATATTACATAAAATACAACTACAGGAATACAACACGTGTAGGCCTACTTACAAAAATGTCCAGCATGATATCCTGACGTCATAACTCGCCACAAAGTACACAATAGGTTAGTCCGTATGTTCCCCAGGTCACTGCACTCTGTCCACACTGGCGAATAATTCCACACACACACACGCACACACACGAAGACACCACCAATTCCAACGGTGAAAGTTTTGAACTTATCCAAACGATCCTTGTTTGTTCACAGAATAGTGAAAGTTTTTTCAATATTATGTTGCAATGTAGAGTTGCGTTCTACAAGAACCAGCTGAATTTATATTCGGAATCTATTCCTAATATCCGTATAACTTTTGAATATTCGTAGTCCTGGCACGAGAGGTGTCTCCAGTGTCTCTCGGCATCAATCTTTGTAAAATACTGGATGATGTGATTCCCGATGTGAACCTATTGAGTTCCTGTTGAAACAAAAGAAAACAAAAGAGGATAATTATGAGTCTGAGTGAGTGAATATGTATGTGTATGTGTGTGTGTATGTGTGTGTGTATGTGTGAGTGTGTGTGAGTATGTGTGTGCGTATGTGTGTGTATGTGTATGTGTGTGAGTGTGTTTATGTTTGTGTAAGTGCGCGTGTGTGTTTGTGTGAGTGGCGAGAAAAAGAGAGATAAGAGTATACATAAACACAGGTACCTGATAAAAATCCTTTTCCTCACTTGGAACTCAAAATGAAGTCTTCTGTAAGCGATGACGGAGAACTTACCTCTAAACCACAGTCGCTGGCCACTGTCAAAAAGACCTGCCTTGACTTTGACTTTCAAGACGGACAGTTTGTTGTTATAAATTACTAATAACTCACCAATTATCACATTTATATTTCTTTAAAAAGTTGCTGGGTCGACTTGGGCCGGATCTGTCCTTCAGATCGTAGTTCGCTCATGCCAGATTTACGATCTCTAAAAAAGTTGCATACCTCATTTCTTACCCACCTTATTTATTACATACTTCTGGGGTCGTTATCAGCACACTGATTTGCTATTGCTGCTGCGGCTTTACGATAATAGTTCGACAAGAATGTAAAAAAAGAAATGGGTCTCTGATAAATTATGTCGATGATAGCAAAGATATGCGCCGCTCCATGAATGAACGAACAAGGTAGATAAACGTTAGGTGATCACAAGTGAAAAAAAGTATTTACTAGACATAAGAATACGAGAGGTTATTACAGTCGTCAAGAACGTAGCGGACACAGAGTATAGGTTATTAAAGTCATCAAGAACGTAGCAGACACAGAGTATAGGTTATTAAAGTCATCAAGAACGTAGCGGACACAGAGTATAGGTTATTAAAGTCATCAAGAACGTAGCAGACACAGAGTATAGGTTATTAAAGTCATCAAGAACGTAGCGGACACAGAGTATGTGCAATCAGCAGCGGATCATTATGATAATTTAATCAACATGCACAAATAACCCCCCCCCCCCACACACACACAAATTCGCGCATTCCATAGCATGCATGTTGGTGCCTGCCTTTCAAATTGAGGTAAAGGGAAAAGGAGTCACACAATCTAAATAAATAACGATTTCTGTTCTGGGTTTTTTTTTAGAACGCCCCAAAATAGCGCGTTTTCGACAGATCAGAAAGCGCGTCTTTATTAAAGCGTTAAAGTGAAAAGATAATTATTATATAATACAAATAGATAACACGTGAAAGGAATTAATAGCGTTCAGCTACCCGTATACCCAGTCCAAAGAGTATTTATTTCTAGTTACCTGCTACATGTGCCAAGCGTTCAATGTGAGAGACTTTTTTCCTTCGCTACTGTTCTTCTACAAAGACAGCAAACAAGCACACGCCGAGCTGTATAGGGAACCGCCCACGCCTAGAGTACGTTCACCCGCATTTACAACATGAAGGCAAACACAATGTTTTATTTCTTCTCATTTTCATTCATATTATGTCCACGTTTCTCCCTCTATCATTCCTTCTATTTGGTAGTGGATTTTCTGTCACAAACATTTTTTTCCCTCAAAATAGGGCATCGAAATAGGAGACGGAGCGCGCGATTTAGTCGGGGTAAGACACAGTTGGGTGGCTGTCTGTCTGAAGAGAAAGACTAGAATCTAGATCGAGACAGAGCAGCGAGACTGAACGACGTATCTAACACACCTCAGAAAAGTGGGGAAAACCAAAAGGGTTCAAATGTGTTCGTTCGCTTCGTTGCCTTAGGGCCCGGTGATACATCGTCTGTCAATGCTGTCAACTCGCACCGATGTGACGTCAAGGGCAAGCAGACGTAGCCACGTTATGACGTCTGAGGAGGAAATGACGTTAAGTATATCTGCGATGACGAGGCAGAATTCGGAAACAAATCGTGATCTTGTCGACTGCGCTTTTGTTTTTCTCTTTTTTTTTTTGCTTGGGATTTTTTCAAGGTTTTTGTTCACTTCCCTCACAGGACTGGTTTTGTTCTGTCGTTTTGAGACTCTATAAAAGCTTTTCAGAACTTACTTCTTCCAACAGACAATGTCTTCCCAATTCCGTCTTCCCGTTTCACGCCGGTACCTGTAACGAGAAAAAGGAGAGTCTTACTTAAAATCACCTAGGTACGTCAGACATTGATTAATGCACTTATTGAACTGTGACAAAATCCCCGAATTAGGGAAAAGGCTGCTCCGCTGCTTTCGGTTTTAACATTGACCAAGTCGAACGAAAAATCCCCTGTACAAACCATCATGTCCAACTTTCCGCATGTTTTTTTTCTTCCTGTACTATACTGACGCACTGTTCAAGAGAACCACCTGTCTAAAATGACCCCTTTTCTTACCGAGAGGTGGTGATCGTTTTAGACAGGTTTGATTGTACATAGTTGCATCTTTTGTGCCCACTGAATTCGGAGCAAGTCTTTGCACAAAACAGTATTGTTTCATCGGGGTAGAGGAAAAGTCCAGTGGCACGTTATGTTATAAAAGTTTGTGGGTGTCAAACTGTGTGACTTATTATCTGAAACTGCTAGCCCGTGATGCTAAAATGCTTAGACTCTGCTAGTCTCAGCCAATCTGGGCAGAGAAGATACAACATCTTAGCAGACAGACATGGGTTCTCGGGAAAAAGACCTCCCGACATAAAGATCTTTCTCACGTTCTCCGCAAATGAGGGCGGAGTGTCTAACCTCTACACTACAGACGCCGGAGGAATAAAACAAAACACATCGATATGACTGATTCAACAAACCTTTAAGGCAAGGTAAAAAGTAAGACAGGCAGAAACAACACTAGAAACAAGGCTAGCCTGAGACGGCCAAATATCAGACATACAAAATGGTGAGACTACAGGGGAAATGAGAGAGAGAGAG